CCGCCGTACCCTGCTGCACCATGTCCTGATCCACCGTGCCCTGCTGCACCATACACTGCACTGTTGTGCATATCCTACACCACCAGAGGCTGCACCACCATGCCCTGCACCATCGTGCCCCGCTGCACCATACCCTGCACTGCCGTGCCCTGTTACACCACGCCCTGCACCGCCGTACCCTGCTGCACCATGTCCTGCACTGCTGTTCCCGGTGCGGAGTGCTCAGCTTGGTTCACCGTGCGTGGCTCCCCTGTTAATGCAGCAGGATGGGACCCGTTCCCGGTGCGGAGTGCTCAGCTTGGTTCACCGTGCGTGGCTCCCCTGTTAATGCAGCAGGATGGGACCCGTTCCCGGTGCGGAGTGCTCAGCTTGGTTCACCGTGCGTGGCTCCCCTGTTAATGCAGCAGGATGGGACCCGTTCCCGGTGCGGAGTGCTCAGCTTGGTTCACCGTGCGTGGCTCCCCTGTTAATGCAGCAGGATGGGACCCGTTCCCGGTGCGGAGTGCTCAGCTTGGTTCACCGTGCGTGGCTCCCCTGTTAATGCAGCAGGATGGGACCCGTTCCCGGTGCGGAGTGCTCAGCTTGGTTCACCGTGCGTGGCTCCCCTGTTAATGCAGCAGGATGGGACCCGTTCCCGGTGCGGAGTGCTCAGCTTGGTTCACCGTGCGTGGCTCCCCTGTTAATGCAGCAGGATGGGACCCGTTCCCGGTGCGGAGTGCTCAGCTTGGTTCACCGTGCGTGGCTCCCCTGTTAATGCAGCAGGATGGGACCCGTTCCCGGTGCGGAGTGCTCAGCTTGGTTCACCGTGCGTGGCTCCCCTGTTAATGCAGCAGGATGGGACCCGTTCCCGGTGCGGAGTGCTCAGCTTGGTTCACCGTGCGTGGCTCCCCTGTTAATGCAGCAGGATGGGACCCGTTCCCGGTGCGGAGTGCTCAGCTTGGTTCACCGTGCGTGGCTCCCCTGTTAATGCAGCAGGATGGGACCCGTTCCCGGTGCGGAGTGCTCAGCTTGGTTCACCGTGCGTGGCTCCCCTGTTAATGCAGCAGGATGGGACCCGTTCCCGGTGCGGAGTGCTCAGCTTGGTTCACCGTGCGTGGCTCCCCTGTTAATGCAGCAGGATGGGACCCGTTCCCGGTGCGGAGTGCTCAGCTTGGTTCACCGTGCGTGGCTCCCCTGTTAATGCAGCAGGATGGGACCCGTTCCCGGTGCGGAGTGCTCAGCTTGGTTCACCGTGCGTGGCTCCCCTGTTAATGCAGCAGGATGGGACCCGTTCCCGGTGCGGAGTGCTCAGCTTGGTTCACCGTGCGTGGCTCCCCTGTTAATGCAGCAGGATGGGACCCGTTCCCGGTGCGGAGTGCTCAGCTTGGTTCACCGTGCGTGGCTCCCCTGTTAATGCAGCAGGATGGGACCCGTTCCCGGTGCGGAGTGCTCAGCTTGGTTCACCGTGCGTGGCTCCCCTGTTAATGCAGCAGGATGGGACCCGTTCCCGGTGCGGAGTGCTCAGCTTGGTTCACCGTGCGTGGCTCCCCTGTTAATGCAGCAGGATGGGACCCGTTCCCGGTGCGGAGTGCTCAGCTTGGTTCACCGTGCGTGGCTCCCCTGTTAATGCAGCAGGATGGGACCCGTTCCCGGTGCGGAGTGCTCAGCTTGGTTCACCGTGCGTGGCTCCCCTGTTAATGCAGCAGGATGGGACCCGTTCCCGGTGCGGAGTGCTCAGCTTGGTTCACCGTGCGTGGCTCCCCTGTTAATGCAGCAGGATGGGACCCGTTCCCGGTGCGGAGTGCTCAGCTTGGTTCACCGTGCGTGGCTCCCCTGTTAATGCAGCAGGATGGGACCCGTTCCCGGTGCGGAGTGCTCAGCTTGGTTCACCGTGCGTGGCTCCCCTGTTAATGCAGCAGGATGGGACCCGTTCCCGGTGCGGAGTGCTCAGCTTGGTTCACCGTGCGTGGCTCCCCTGTTAATGCAGCAGGATGGGACCCGTTCCCGGTGCGGAGTGCTCAGCTTGGTTCACCGTGCGTGGCTCCCCTGTTAATGCAGCAGGATGGGACCCGTTCCCGGTGCGGAGTGCTCAGCTTGGTTCACCGTGCGTGGCTCCCCTGTTAATGCAGCAGGATGGGACCCGTTCCCGGTGCGGAGTGCTCAGCTTGGTTCACCGTGCGTGGCTCCCCTGTTAATGCAGCAGGATGGGACCCGTTCCCGGTGCGGAGTGCTCAGCTTGGTTCACCGTGCGTGGCTCCCCTGTTAATGCAGCAGGATGGGACCCGTTCCCGGTGCGGAGTGCTCAGCTTGGTTCACCGTGCGTGGCTCCCCTGTTAATGCAGCAGGATGGGACCCGTTCCCGGTGCGGAGTGCTCAGCTTGGTTCACCGTGCGTGGCTCCCCTGTTAATGCAGCAGGATGGGACCCGTTCCCGGTGCGGAGTGCTCAGCTTGGTTCACCGTGCGTGGCTCCCCTGTTAATGCAGCAGGATGGGACCCGTTCCCGGTGCGGAGTGCTCAGCTTGGTTCACCGTGCGTGGCTCCCCTGTTAATGCAGCAGGATGGGACCCGTTCCCGGTGCGGAGTGCTCAGCTTGGTTCACCGTGCGTGGCTCCCCTGTTAATGCAGCAGGATGGGACCCGTTCCCGGTGCGGAGTGCTCAGCTTGGTTCACCGTGCGTGGCTCCCCTGTTAATGCAGCAGGATGGGACCCGTTCCCGGTGCGGAGTGCTCAGCTTGGTTCACCGTGCGTGGCTCCCCTGTTAATGCAGCAGGATGGGACCCGTTCCCGGTGCGGAGTGCTCAGCTTGGTTCACCGTGCGTGGCTCCCCTGTTAATGCAGCAGGATGGGACCCGTTCCCGGTGCGGAGTGCTCAGCTTGGTTCACCGTGCGTGGCTCCCCTGTTAATGCAGCAGGATGGGACCCGTTCCCGGTGCGGAGTGCTCAGCTTGGTTCACCGTGCGTGGCTCCCCTGTTAATGCAGCAGGATGGGACCCGTTCCCGGTGCGGAGTGCTCAGCTTGGTTCACCGTGCGTGGCTCCCCTGTTAATGCAGCAGGATGGGACCCGTTCCCGGTGCGGAGTGCTCAGCTTGGTTCACCGTGCGTGGCTCCCCTGTTAATGCAGCAGGATGGGACCCGTTCCCGGTGCGGAGTGCTCAGCTTGGTTCACCGTGCGTGGCTCCCCTGTTAATGCAGCAGGATGGGACCCGTTCCCGGTGCGGAGTGCTCAGCTTGGTTCACCGTGCGTGGCTCCCCTGTTAATGCAGCAGGATGGGACCCGTTCCCGGTGCGGAGTGCTCAGCTTGGTTCACCGTGCGTGGCTCCCCTGTTAATGCAGCAGGATGGGACCCGTTCCCGGTGCGGAGTGCTCAGCTTGGTTCACCGTGCGTGGCTCCCCTGTTAATGCAGCAGGATGGGACCCGTTCCCGGTGCGGAGTGCTCAGCTTGGTTCACCGTGCGTGGCTCCCCTGTTAATGCAGCAGGATGGGACCCGTTCCCGGTGCGGAGTGCTCAGCTTGGTTCACCGTGCGTGGCTCCCCTGTTAATGCAGCAGGATGGGACCCGTTCCCGGTGCGGAGTGCTCAGCTTGGTTCACCGTGCGTGGCTCCCCTGTTAATGCAGCAGGATGGGACCCGTTCCCGGTGCGGAGTGCTCAGCTTGGTTCACCGTGCGTGGCTCCCCTGTTAATGCAGCAGGATGGGACCCGTTCCCGGTGCGGAGTGCTCAGCTTGGTTCACCGTGCGTGGCTCCCCTGTTAATGCAGCAGGATGGGACCCGTTCCCGGTGCGGAGTGCTCAGCTTGGTTCACCGTGCGTGGCTCCCCTGTTAATGCAGCAGGATGGGACCCGTTCCCGGTGCGGAGTGCTCAGCTTGGTTCACCGTGCGTGGCTCCCCTGTTAATGCAGCAGGATGGGACCCGTTCCCGGTGCGGAGTGCTCAGCTTGGTTCACCGTGCGTGGCTCCCCTGTTAATGCAGCAGGATGGGACCCGTTCCCGGTGCGGAGTGCTCAGCTTGGTTCACCGTGCGTGGCTCCCCTGTTAATGCAGCAGGATGGGACCCGTTCCCGGTGCGGAGTGCTCAGCTTGGTTCACCGTGCGTGGCTCCCCTGTTAATGCAGCAGGATGGGACCCGTTCCCGGTGCGGAGTGCTCAGCTTGGTTCACCGTGCGTGGCTCCCCTGTTAATGCAGCAGGATGGGACCCGTTCCCGGTGCGGAGTGCTCAGCTTGGTTCACCGTGCGTGGCTCCCCTGTTAATGCAGCAGGATGGGACCCGTTCCCGGTGCGGAGTGCTCAGCTTGGTTCACCGTGCGTGGCTCCCCTGTTAATGCAGCAGGATGGGACCCGTTCCCGGTGCGGAGTGCTCAGCTTGGTTCACCGTGCGTGGCTCCCCTGTTAATGCAGCAGGATGGGACCCGTTCCCGGTGCGGAGTGCTCAGCTTGGTTCACCGGGCGTGGCTCCCCTGTTAATGCAGCAGGATGGGACCCGTTCCCGGTGCGGAGTCCTCAGCTCGGTTCACTGGGCGTGGCTCCCCTGTTAATGCAGCAGGATGGGACCCGTTCCCGGTGCGGAGTGCTCAGCTTGGTTCACCGGGCGTGGCTCCCCTGTTAATGCAGCAGGATGGGACCCGTTCCCGGTGCGGAGTCCTCAGCTCGGTTCACTGGGCGTGGCTCCCCTGTTAATGCAGCAGGATGGGACCCGTTCCCGGTGCGGAGTGCTCAGCTTGGTTCACCGGGCGTGGCTCCCCTGTTAATGCAGCAGGATGGGACCCGTTCCCGGTGCGGAGTCCTCAGCTCGGTTCACTGGGCGTGGCTCCCCTGTTAATGCAGCAGGATGGGACCCGTTCCCGGTGCGGAGTGCTCAGCTTGGTTCACCGGGCGTGGCTCCCCTGTTAATGCAGCAGGATGGGACCCGTTCCCGGTGCGGAGTCCTCAGCTCGGTTCACTGGGCGTGGCTCCCCTGTTAATGCAGCAGGATGGGACCCGTTCCCGGTGCGGAGTGCTCAGCTTGGTTCACCGGGCGTGGCTCCCCTGTTAATGCAGCAGGATGGGACCCGTTCCCGGTGCGGAGTGCTCAGCTTGGTTCACCGGGCGTGGCTCCCCTGTTAATGCAGCAGGATGGGACCCGTTCCCGGTGCGGAGTGCTCAGCTTGGTTCACCGGGCGTGGCTCCCCTGTTAATGCAGCAGGATGGGACCCGTTCCCGGTGCGGAGTGCTCAGCTTGGTTCACCGGGCGTGGCTCCCCTGTTAATGCAGCCGGATGGGACCCGTTCCCGGTGCGGAGCGCTCAGCTCGGTTCACCGGGTGTGGTTCCCCCGTTAATAGGGCAGGATGGGACCCGTTCCCGGTGCGGAGCGCTCAGCTCGGTTCACCGGGTGTGGTTCCCCCGTTAATAGGGCAGGATGGGACCCGTTCCCGGTGCGGAGCGCTCAGCTCGGTTCACCGGGTGTGGTTCCCCCGTTAATAGGGCAGGATGGGACCCGTTCCCGGTGCGGAGCGCTCAGCTCGGTTCACTGGGTGTGGCTCCCCCGTTAATGCAGCAGGATGGGACCCGTTCCCGGTGCGGAGTGCTCAGCTCGGTTCACTGGGTGTGGCTCCCCCGTTAATAGGGCAGGATGGGACCCGGTGTGGGAGTGCTCAGCTCAATTAACTGGGTGTGGCTCCCCTGTTAACGGAGCAGGATGGATCCCGTTCCTGGTGTGGAGTGCTCAGTCTGCACTGGGTGTGGCCCCCCTGTTTAATGGGGTGTTCAGGGTGGGATAAGCCTCTCCTGGTGCTGAGCACCCTGATCTTGCCCTGGGCACAGCACCAAAAGTGGGCAGGGCTGGATGAGCCCCTGGTGCTGAGTGCCCCACAGTGGGTGTGGCCCTGGTTCTCAGGGGTCCCTGTGGGGTCTGTGGGGAGGGCAGGGTGGGATGGGACCCCTGTGCTGAGCCTGCAACCCACACTGCGCATTGCACCAGAGTGTGGGTGGGCAGAATAAGCGCCCTGGTGCTGAGCCCTCAACATATACTAGGGATGGCAGTGGTCCAATTGGGTGGGTGAGGCAGGATGAGACCCTCTGGTCTTCATGTTGCATGGGGTGTGGCCCCTGTTCAGTGGGGCAGGATGGGTCCCTGGTGCTGAGCACTGCCACACCGCACTGGGTGTGGCTCTGGTTCCCAAACAGCAGGGCTGGATATGGCCACGGGTGCAGAGCCCCTCCCCTCCCCGCAGTGCCCAGCACCCACAGAACAATAGAGCGGGTGCAGGGGCTGGCCCCATCCAGCCCAAGGCACAGGGCAGCGTTGTGGGGGGCAGAGCCGGCGCTGGCAGGACCTGGGGGGGGCAGAGCCGGGGCGCCGGCGCC